AAGAGATGGGACACTAAGGATGTGATAGCTCCTAAGACAGAAACTAGGTGCCATTCCTGGTTATGACTTTTGCCTAGCCATGTCTAGGTTAGAGCAGGTCAGAGAAAGCCCCTGCCCAGGACTAGAAAGGAACCATTCTGATTATATCTTTTGGACTCCTTTGCATGCCCTTGAATTCTAGGCTATTTGGGGGATCTGTCACCAGCACCAGCTCTCAGTCCAAGTCTCCCACCACATTCCCTTCTGCCATCTGCTGAATCCAACAGTGGAAGGTATCTTCTGTCTTCGAGACAGCACGGCCTGCAGGCTGAATATAACCAGCTCCCAGGACGTACTTCCTATTTTGAGGGAAGAAATGCTAACTTTGTGTTACAAGGCAACCTATCCCTGACTAAGATTTTGCATCACCCTGGATAAGCAAATCTCTTCCTGTAGAGTTTTGCTTTTTCATCCGAGGACAGATGTAAATGGCAGATTAGAGTTACCTTAAAATGTCCTTTAATATCCATCCCGAAGCAAAGCTCTCAAAGTCCAGCTGACTGAAAAAGAGACCTGGAAAGGGGACAGACTATCCTCTGCCATGAAAAAGAAGGAGGAGCAGGGAGTCCCTGAGCTACAGATGTGTTCTGCCCTTTCTCCCCTCCGCTCCTCAGGGTCCTGCTGTGTATGCCGTTCAGGATATTCGGTAGATTACTGGTCAATATAGGCATCACTACTGCTGTGTTGTGAGAGAGCACTGCTAGGAAGCGGCAATGACAACAGTGATGGAACTCTATCTGCACTGTGATGGTGCTGGAGGTGACACTGATGGAGAGAGTGGGAACAGTTAAAGCCTATCGGTACCATGGTAATGCTGGGGCCACAAGGACAACAATGATGGAGAGGGTGGGGATAGTGGTGCTACCCATAGATACTAAGGCTTGATATCTAGCATATACTTTGACTACATTGCGAAGTTCTATACAACCATAGCTCCTACTGCTACCACCTCCTCTAGGGTAAGGGAGGTTGATGATAACATGGAGGCATATCCACCGAGACCTTCTGGGAAGGCAACAATGGTGGGAGGAGGTAATCCTGCATGGGGCTGAGCTGGAAACACCTCACTTTCGCTTCCTTCCTGGGTTGCCCCTGATTTTATGCCAGCTGGTCAGGAAGGTATCAGATGCCTTAGGTGGCTGTCACCAGCACCTGCTGCCTGGATCCTAATCAGGGAGATGGTGTCACCAGACCTGCAAATAAAATATTTAGTGGCACTTGCTTTCCCCAGAAGCAAGTGTGAACTCGGCTTGGTATCACAGTGTCCATGAGGAAGATGTTGGTGACTCAGAAGTCTAGGACAGTATGTTCCTGCTTGAGAACTAAAGTAGAGGAAAATGGTAGAAGAGAAAGATCCCAGCATATGACAACTGACTTCATGAACTGAACACACAGGGAAGATCTGATGAAAAGAGGAGAGTTTTATTAAAAGAAAACTCTTGTTTGGTACCAGTGGAAAATCAGAGCTGAGAAGAAGGACCAACTGTACAGTGTCACAGGCTTCAACCAAACTGAGGATAGAGTATCTGTTTGAGACCGGTCTTATGATAGAGGATAGCAAGGATCTGGAAATATGAGTTTGTAGTAAAGGCCATGGCCCCCTGAGCACATGACATGGTCAGAGCTGTGCTGATGACTTTATAACAGTGATGTCAGTCTTGCATGGCAGGTCCCAGGACTAAGCCCATTTCAGGTAGGTAGAGAGACAGCATCCCAGAGTAACCTTGTGCCCTGACCAGTTGCACACAGTTGAAGGTCGGCTTCAAGCCAAATATCTGAGTTCTTCATCCCAGTGATTAATCATACCACACTGCTGCTTTTCAAGGCACAAAGGTAGCTGCCTTCCTTACCCTGAGTTCAGCAGGGGGGCCTGACCTTGACCACTGAGTCCTGCTTTACAGCAATGTCATTCATCTTGGCACATAAATCTGTGGCCCTCACTATATCAAATCTTTCCATCCTTTACTACAGCAGACAGTTTCTCCTCTGAACCCCAGTGTATAGTAGCAGTTGCTGGGGTGAGTAGCCCCGGGGCCTGGGGATGAATTTCCCAACTACTCACCGGGATCATGTAGTTAGAGGGATAAGAAGAAAACAGGTCTGCTACAGGGATATTCTGAAAAAGCCTGTCCTGATCAGCCACATAATAGTACAGAAGGATCTTAGTAACTATTTAACCCAGAGTCCAAGAACTGAAGGACATGGGCCTCGAGACATCATTTCATCTGGAATGAGGACTCTTACAGACTGTCTGGTTATGACAGTTCAGTCAACAGACTTGGGAAAATGCTAGGCCAGTCCGTCCCTACTATGCAATTTGTGCATGACACACAGTGGACCGGAACTCCTGAATTCCCTACACTTCTTCCTAGTCAAGACTGCAGGCCTTCTAATCATCAGCCCTGTTTTTCCACTCTGAATCCAGCTTTTAGCAGCCTCCCTGTTGTCTTCAGAGAGGCTGTGTTGAGACTTGTACTAGAATATGACATAGAAAATCATCCTAGGTCTGTTATTTTCCTCTGCCTCTGATCTTCCAAGTAAGCGTTGCCACAGGACCAGGGGAATCAAAGCTCCCCACACAGCATCCATCCATGGAAAGGAAAAACATGAGCAAGAAGTCGAGTCAGGAATCCCAGTACCATTTCCCATCAGAGGCCTCTATGATCATGTAACAGGTACCAGTGGTGTGGCTTCAGTTCCACACAGACTTCCAGGACAGCCAGAGAGCTAGATACTATGTTATCTAATGGTCTCATTCTAGCAGAAATAGAAATGGGACTTGGCCCAAAGGTCACCTGCTACTGAACTTTATCAGGGAAGAGGGAAGTAAGATGGTTGACTATGTCTTCAGATGCTGGTCTCTACTCTCAGGACTCCTCGTGTGCATAAGTGAGACATGTATGCGGATGTGTATGGTGGGAAAGCAGGGGTGTGCGAGGCATGAACTCGGTGCCACTGTGCTTCAGAGCACACCTTTGTCCTGCAAGCACCCACAACTGGCATGGCAACAGGCAGCCTCCTCCTCAACGCTTGTCTTGGATGGACAATCTGCTCTCATGCTGCATCCTGCTCCTGAAGCCACCTCTGTGGCAGCACGCGAGCCTACCTGTGGTCCCACCTTCTAGAAAAGAGCATGCAGGGTGGCCTCCTGCAATTCTCCATTTAGCTGGAGAGGTTGAGGATTCTGTTATTTCCTTTCTGCAGCTCCTCTTGAGGAATTTACGTCCTGCTACCGGCCTCAGGACATAGCTAAAAATAACCGCTTCTCAGACTGAAAGCTGGGTGAGTCGGGAGCCTTTGCTCCTAGGACCGGAAGGGCTGTGTCAGAGTGGTTAAAGTCAGCCCCAGCCTGTGCTGCCTTCCTCTTTCCAAGGAAGCCTGGGACCACACAAATCACCTCCAGAATGCTGGCAGAATATCCCTGGAGGAAGAGAGTCTGGTGGGATTCCCCTGGCACAATAGTGGCTGCAGACCTCTGCTACAGAGTGGAGGAGTGAGAAGAAGACTCTCTAAATATACAAGGAAAAACCAAGTAAGAGTGATGTCAGACTAGTTATAACCCAGTCCAGCCAGATTGGGGAGTTGAGGGAACAGGCAGGTAGGCCAGCCTCTTCTAAGCTACCTGGGAGCAAATTCTTCTTCCTAGCTGGAGTGCTTCCATTCCTAGCGTCAGTACACCCAGAGTTCTGTCAGTACTTGTCAACAAGATTGCCCAGGCACTCCTTTCAGCTTAAGAAAGTCTCTCTTGGCTAGATGGTTGCTGCCTCTTCTGGTGCAGCTTCCAGGCCACTGCTGGTCATCCTAAAAGTCAGGGGAAGCAAAACTGTGCAAGGATGACTGGGCTTCCTGACCTTCTCCCCTTGCCTAGCATCTCCCCTTGCTGGTCTTAGTGGATGTTCTCAGGGATCCTTTCTGCTCTCTGGCAACTTCTTGGAATGTAGACAAAATAAAAGCATTCAAGAGTGGAGACAGAGCTTCAAGCACTGTGATCAAGGCCCAGGGCTAAATTCACAGATGATGGAACAGCCAGACTTCCCCAGCAGTGACCAGATAAAACTGACCTTCAGACTACTTTCCCTCTACGGATGACCAAGTATTTCTCACCAGAATTCCTGCCTCAGGTGGTGCTTCTGGGCTTCACCATCCAGCTAGGCTTTTAGCAAGAATGCAGGTTCCTGTTATCCTACCTGTGGAGAAAAAGGCCAAGGGGCTACTAGAACTCTGATACTCTTCTCCTTTAAGACAGATTGCTGTGTCTGTCACAGAGGGATAGCATCACCTGCCATTTCAGAGGATTTTCAGGCTCTGGGATGGCAGGTTAGGAATCCAGTCTTTTTCAAATATATTTTTCATAAAGCATAACAGCTAAAGACAAGGGCATCTTCTCTCTGGAACAACAAAGGACATCAGTAGAGGTGACCAACATATCTCCCTCTCTGTGTATGTCAGACCATGAGAAAGTATGGAATCCCAGAAGTGTGAGGTGAAGGGCGTCTGAGATTAGGAGAAATGTTATTGGCCTATCAGACTGGAGTAGCGGGCACCTTAAAGTAAGTCTATGGGGGAAGAAGATATTTCAGTCCTGCACTAACATCGACTGGCTAAGTGAACCCAGTCTTTTAACCTCCGTGAGAGAAAAAAAAAACCAATGTCTTAAGAGGCCTGAAATGAAGATGCTTTCTACAGTGTAAATAAAACATACAAACAAAAGAGTGTTATACAGCACAATGGCTAAAGACCAATGATAATGGGACTCCTTAGCAACCCTGGGGAGGGGGGGAGATAGAATGTTAATAATAGAAAAACTGAAACGCAGCAAAAAAGAGACCCAGGGCCAGCTGGATTTGAGAATCCTGGTAAAGCAATACTGTTCAGATAGAATTTACTGTTGGTCTTCTGTTTTTCAGAACCATGTGATTGCTGGTCCTGAAAAGTGGAATAACACACAGAAGAGCTGTCCACCGGCCTCACCCTTCTAGGGATGGAGCAGAGGAGGTTCCATCTGCGGGCCATGCAGGCTGACAACCTGCCTGTGGTACTGCTCTCAGTGGCCTGGCTCCTGCTAGCTCGCGGGACCACGGGTATGCCTCAGTTCAGCACTTTCCACTCTGAGAATCGTGACTGGACTTTCAACCATTTGACTGTACACCGAAGAACAGGGGCCGTGTATGTAGGGGCCATCAACCGTGTCTACAAGTTGACCGGCAACCTCACCATCCAGGTGGCTCACAAGACAGGGCCAGAAGAAGACAACAAGGCTTGCTACCCACCCCTCATTGTCCAGCCCTGCAGTGAAGTGCTCACACTCACCAACAACGTCAACAAACTGCTGATCATCGACTACTCAGAGAATCGCCTGCTGGCCTGTGGAAGCCTTTACCAGGGTGTTTGCAAGCTCCTGCGGCTTGATGACCTCTTTATCCTGGTGGAGCCATCCCACAAAAAGGAGCACTACCTGTCCAGCGTCAATAAGACAGGCACCATGTATGGCGTTATTGTGCGCTCTGAGGGGGAAGATGGCAAGCTTTTTATTGGTACGGCTGTGGATGGCAAGCAGGATTACTTCCCTACCCTGTCCAGCCGCAAGCTGCCCCGTGACCCTGAGTCTTCAGCAATGCTGGACTATGAGCTTCACAGCGATTTTGTCTCCTCCCTCATCAAGATCCCCTCTGACACCCTAGCCCTGGTCTCCCACTTTGACATCTTCTACATCTATGGCTTCGCCAGTGGGGGGTTTGTCTACTTCCTCACTGTCCAGCCAGAGACCCCCGAGGGCATGGCCATCAATTCAGCTGGAGATCTATTCTATACCTCAAGAATCGTGCGTCTCTGCAAGGATGACCCCAAGTTCCACTCCTATGTGTCCCTGCCCTTTGGCTGTACCCGTGCTGGGGTGGAATACCGCCTTCTGCAAGCAGCTTACCTCGCAAAGCCAGGGGAAGCTCTAGCTCAGGCATTCAACATCAGCAGTGACGAAGACGTGCTGTTTGCCATCTTCTCCAAGGGGCAGAAGCAGTACCACCACCCTCCTGATGACTCTGCCCTCTGTGCCTTCCCCATCCGGGCCATCAACTTGCAAATTAAGGAGAGGTTGCAGTCCTGCTACCAAGGAGAGGGCAACTTGGAGCTCAACTGGCTTCTGGGAAAGGATGTGCAGTGCACCAAGGCGGTAAGGGACCTCTGTGTGCTTTTCCCAGTGTCTCTGTTCTTCTGCACCTTCAGCTTCTGGGCCTGTAAGGGCCTGAGATACATAAGAAAGGGTTTCAGGCAACTAGCTGATAACAACTGAGTATACAGAGTCTTGCCTACATCAGATTCTTGGGATGAGTTTGCTGATTCATTAAATCAATACTGATGTATACCCTGTATGCTTCCAGTGTACAGGCACTGCTTTTGGTGCCTGCTAAGCCACATGACTAAGTTACATGTTCTCAAAGAACTTACCTGCTAGTGAGTCAAGACAAGTCAACACATAAAACAGCCTAGCTGGATGTGGTGGCACACACTTGTAATCTCAACACTTAGAAGAAATAGAGGCAGGAAGATTAGGTGTCCAAGGTCATCTCTTTGCTACATTGTGAGCTCAAGGCTAACCCGGCTGTATGATACTCTCTCAGACAAATAAAATGATACTGCCTGCCAAATGGTAAATTTTCTTTAAAGGGAAATAAAACAGAGCAGGGATCAGCAGTCGAGAATATCTACTGTTGAGAGAGTAGTATTTGGAGCAATGGCTAAATGAGGGGAAGGCATTTCAGAGAGAGAGGTAGCAAGTGCAAAGAACTCTGAGCATGCCTACGCATCAGATAAACAGCAAGGAATTCTCACAGCTTTATTGAAGCCTGTGAGCGAGGGTACCACAGAATCCTTGGTCAGAACTTAAGCTTTGACATCTAATCAATTAAATTAAAAATCAGTTCATCCACCTGTATCCTGTGTGCCCTTGGGCAAGTTATGTGCTTTATTTGAGCTTTGAGGTTTTTTGTCATTAAAATAGAAATAATATTATCTTCTTTTTTATTATAAGAATCAGGTTATCAATAATTTATTAAAATAAAATGCTTGGCACACATTAATCATTTAATAAAAGAACAGCTAGGGTTACCACTGCTAATCATAGTAATGGAAGACTAGTTATTTGCCTAGTTTATCTTACTTTCATAAAATGGAGGAGAATAGATTTAGGTATCTCTAGTTTGCTTTATAACACTATAGTTCTATGAACAAGGGCCCTCTTCAAGCAAAAGAAGTGAAATGGAAATGTAAGGGTTAAGCCCTTGCAGCATCCACTCTGGTTCCCGTGGCCCAGAGCAGGCCTTGTCAGGAGGAAACTGCTGATTCCTGCTTGCCTTTCTGCCAAAGTTAAGAGGAAGGAGACACTGTGCTCTCCTCCAGTGGTGGTACAGAGACAAGTCCTGGCTAGTTCTCCTGGACGTCAGAATACCGGGTGATGACTAGAAGGACAAATGCTTTATAACAGTGGCTCTCAGCCTTCCTCGTGCTACACTTTGATACAGCTCCTCATGTTGTAGTGACCACAACCATAAAATTATTTTGTTGCTACTTCATAACTGTAATCTTGCTACTGTTATGAATTAGAATATAAACATCTGACATGCAGGGTATCTGATTTGTGACCCCAAGGGGGTTATGACACACATGTTGAGAACTACTGGCTTATAGGAAACAATTCTTTTTCCAGTCATTCCCTGAGGCAATACCATTTCAAGCACCAAAACAGTAGAATGTGCAAAATGTTGGTCTCCCTGGATACCTATAGTAAAAGGACCCAGAGGTAGGAACTAGAGGGGCTTTAGTGACCTTTGAGAAGTTTAAAACTCAGTGAGAAACCTTGCCCCCCAAACTTCACTTTAACATAGTTTGTGGACTAACATGTAACACTTGGATCTAATATTTGAATATTTCTTCCACAAAAAACTCGAGGAAGGGACCCAACAGTCCAAGAGTACCAGTGACATGTGAAGGGCTGTTTTGAGCAGTTGATTACCTCAACAGATTCTCAGAAAGTAATCACTAGTTATCATACCTTTTTTAGATAGAAAATCAAAGGCTCAGTGGGTAAATAAACTGCTTAAATTCATATGACTGAACTAGAAATCAGAGAAACCCACAGTCCACAGCAAGAGCTTTTCACTTCTGCCATCATGTCTCAGAAACTGGTTTAGGTTACAACTCTGTAGCTCTCCCAGCCTCTGGAAAAGTAGTGGGAAACACTGAAACCATGAAAGCAAATTATAAAGAGTTTTGACAAAGTCCTGACTCAACTCTTATTTTATAGATGGGAAAAACTAAGGACCAGTGATGGCATGTAACAATAAAGATATGGCGCTAGTATGGTAAGGGCAGGGCTAAAATTCATATTACCTAACTCTTATTGAATAGCCACAGCTTACAGAACAAGGATGAAAAAGAGACAGCCAGGGTAGAGAACAGTGGCTACTAGCTGCCTGCTTGCCCAGTAGCATGCTGGAAAATAATAAGCAGCTGACTCCATATAACATAGGAAGAGGGAGAGCCCTGGTCTCCAGCACTTGGCAATTCCCATGATATAAACACTGCCAAGGAGGATGGCTTCAAACAGGAGTGACAACAATGACCATAGATGCACACATAGACATCTCTCATGAGCTGGCACTAGCCTACCACGGCTTCTTCCCTTCCAAGTTGCAGTGTGGAATCTCTTTCACCAGAGTTCACGGACATTCTTACTCTAAGTTTTGGTATTTTCTCCTATGAGTGCTCATGCTTGTGTTTAGAACCGTCATTCTTACCAGTAGTTGGAACGGCCACTGTCCACAAGTACCAAGGTCCCAGAAACATGTCCTGGTTCCTCTCAGAACTGAGGAGGGAACACAAGACTGAGGAAAAAAATGCATGCTAACTTACTAACCAATCATTCTGAGGAAATGAAGCATCAGCTTTCTCCTCCCTGAAGAAGGTAAAATAGCAAGGTTGAGGGAAACTTCTGCTCTCCTCACAGCTGTTTCCTCTGTTTTCTGGGAAGCTTTTTCCAGACCAGGATGCAACAGCTCCCCCAGCACTCAGGGTCTTTTCTCGTCCAGAATCTGTGGTCTTTATTGCAAGATTTCATGCTGGGCAGTTAGCTGGCATGTCTTGGAGGATCAAGGCACAGTCTCATGCCAGGCTCTATGCAACCCTTATCCTCAAGACTCATGCAGTTCCCTCCCTTCTTTGCTCTCTCTACACAGAGAGAGGGAATGAGGGAATGAGGGAGGGAGAGAGGCAGGGAGAGAGAGGGGACAGGGGAGAGACTAGCTGATCCTACTATAGTCCTTTGGAACTTGAAACCCCCAGTGACATACCTCCTCCAATGCCACACTTCCTAATCCTTCCTGAACAGTTCACCAACTGGGAGCCAAATATTCAAATCTATGAACCTATGGTGTGCGTGTAGCATGGGGTTGGGGGAGATTCTCATTCAAAACACAACACTATCCAGCCAATTCTTCCTTAGACAACTTCAAAAGAGGATGTTGTGATGCCCAGTGGACTCAGCCAGGACACAGGGGGGGAATGGGTCTTCTCATTCTCTGTATAGCAAGTTTTCTCACTTATTCAAGACAGGGTTCTTTCAAAGTGACTCAGTTCCTCCTTGCCCACTACTAATCCCTTCAAAAGGCTGATATAAGAGGAAATCTCTTCGAACACCTATAATGTGCAAGAGATAGTGACACACACTGATAAAAGTCTTTTACATACACTGTTTCATTTAATCCTCTATAATTCTTTCCAAAAGGGTGGGGCATACATTATTCCTAATGAAAAATCTAATGTAGATTTAATTTCCATCACAGCTTGGTGGTACAGGCCTGTAACCTCAGCTACTGGGGAGGCTGACTCAGGAGGATTACATGTTCAAGCTCTGCCTGGGCCATTTAGTGAGACCCTGTCCCAAAGTAAAAAGGTTTTTAAAAAGTATTGAGGAAATAGCTTGGTGACAGAGGACTTGCCTAGCATCCAGAAGACCCCAGATTCACAAAGAACTACAAAGATGAGATAAAGAAAGAAGAGAAAAGAAAAGAGGAAAGGAAAGAAAAAATCCAAAGCAAAAGATGGTATCCAATATTATCATGGTACTTACCATGTGTCCCCAGGATGGCAGGTAGTAGTTATAGTTTAGTGGCTTGAAAATCCTCATGCCTCAAGGAAAAAAACTCTACAGCCCAAGAAACACTAGCTTGCTAGAAGAACAAACAGGAAACCTCTAGGCCAGTAGAATCTTACAATGTTGCCTCTAGGCTGAATGTCCTTTGAGGAATCCTGTTTAAAACAGACAGATCTTCACAGACTGACAGGGTCTAAAGGGACATGAAAACAACCAGAAGGTGAGTTCAAGCAGTCAGCTTTGTGACTTGAGCCTGGTTTTCCTGGCAGAAAGGTAAAAAGTGGACATATGATTCTGGGAGAGTAGAGATGGCTAATCATTCACAATCTGGTCCCATGGGAGCCAAGATGCCATTGTGAGCCAGCTTTGTCTTCTAACATGTTAGATCCTTCATTCCAGACCTGAGCCTCTCTGAGGCCTGGTATCCTCAGGATGACAGCAGTGGGTGGGTAGTCTGAGGTGACCCTGCTACTTTTTCAGTATGATTTACTCCAGTTCTCTCCTGTCCTTCCAGCCAGTCCCCATCGATGATAATTTCTGTGGCCTGGACATCAACCAGCCTCTGGGAGGCTCCACTCCTGTGGAGGGACTGACCCTGTACACCACCAGCAGGGACCGCCTGACCTCTGTGGCCTCCTATGTTTACAATGGCTACAGTGTGGTTTTCGTGGGGACTAAGAGTGGCAAACTAAAGAAGGTAAGAGTCGGGGGCCTGGTGTCTTTAGTTAAGGGACTCACCTTGAAGGTAGTGGTCAATGGAGATTTAACTATAGGGAGCTTCTTGTTTTCTTAAAAGAAGGGGATGGAAAGGAAAGGAGCACAGGGATCCATTCTGTGGTTTATCTTTTATTTCTTCCAGCCACCCGTCAGTGAGTATCTAGGAAATACAAATGTATTTCAGTATTGCCAGACCTTGAGGTTTTGGGTATTTTCTCTTCTGAAGAGAAAAACTCTTAATTCCCAAATCAAGTAGAACTTTTGTTGTTTGTTGTTGTTGTTGTCCACACTGTGAATCATATGTACTGCCCAGATGTTTAAAAAGAAGTTGGTTAGAGCAGGTTTTGAATCCTAAGCTATAATGGTGGATGCTGGCCTCAGGTACATGATTGGTGCCTAGGGACCAGGCCATTTACTTATCTTTTCAGTAGTTGTAGAGGGCCCTCCCCACTTTCTTACCCAAACCACAGCAGTCAGCAGGAAAGCAACATCTTCCAGGACTCCTTGGGCAACCCTATAAGCTGGAGGGAAGATGCTGCCTGGGACTGGCAACAACGGGGCCCTCTGGTGAGGGAGGCGGAAGCCAGTAGCTTATACCTGCTTGCTGAGTGCTTAGGGTGGGGAGAGGGAGCACAGTCTGTTTCATTATGTGGGATTATAGCAGCTCCATTCTTAGTCCCTGCTAAGCCCCAGTTTCCCAAGCTTACTCTCCTGCAACTTCTCACTAGTCCTAGCACCTGTGTACCAAGGCACAGACAAGATGTTGCTGCACCTCACCCTTTGATGTTGGCATTACCGGGCTTCCTTCTCCTAATGCATTTAGAGCCCTGGGAGGTTATTGTTGGGGAGTGTGGAAGAAGATAACTGGGAGCGAATTTGAGGAAGAATTTCCATTTTCTTCTTGTTCAGATTTGCTGTAGAGAAAGTGGATAGAGAACCTTCCAGACCTCTCTGGTCTTTGGAATTCCAAATCCCTTTGACCCTTTCTTTGCTCTTGGGAAATGTTCCTGCTTGTTTCTGTCTTGCACCAATACTCTGCCCCACAGCTATGGACCTGACTTGGCTTCAGCATGTGGAAGAGAGGATGAATGAGGTCTTATCATTTGCTTGCCTAATCTGGGGCAGGCAGGACTCATTCCTTGAGACTTGTTCACTGAGAGAGGAGTGACTCCCTGAGGTTGGGAGGTGGTATATTCTGCTGGTCAAAGGTCTGCTTAGATGGCTGGAGGCTGTCTACCTCCTTGGTCAGCAAGGCTCATATCATCTAGCTGGGTGCATTTGCCTGACACATGGGACAAAGTAGAACCATCTCTGCAAAATCGAGCCATCAGATGAAAAGCCTTGAGACCCTCTAGCCCGCTACCCTCACTATCCCACCGATGCTCAGAGAAGGAGAGTGATCCCGACTAGGAAGTGAGGCTAGTTGTTTCTTGCCTTGACCCCCAGACTTGGCATACTTTTTGACTTCAAGAAGTAGCTGTGAAGCTGTGGCACGGGGTCTGGAAGTGATTTTCAGGTCCAGACTCGCTACAGAGTTCAGTCAAGGGCTAGTGTCTCTATGCTCTCTGGCTGTGGACCTAAATTAAGAAATCGGTATTGTTAGGTAAAAGAGGAATGGCCTAGCCAGACCTCAAGGGAACTCTCTCTCTCTCTCTCTCTCTCTCTCTCTCTCTCTCTCTCTCTCTCTCACACACACACACACACACACACACACACACACACACACACGCACACACACACACATACACACACAGAGAGTGGTCCAAAAATTTCTCTGGGCCTTGTAGGATTCCTAGCAGACTAGTCACTGTGGAGGTAGCAGGTTCAAGGGCAAGGCTTCAGGCACAGCTTCCCACTTCATGTCCCAGCTTGTGAGATGTCTATGACTTTTTACTGTGAGATGGTGTGCCTTTGCCTGCTTCTATGACCTCATGATACCCCCGTGTTTTCCTCTAAGCAGAGCACCCTTCCCTCCACCCACACTCCTTTGAGGTACTTGATACCCATACCTGGCTGTTAGCAGCCTCCCACTTACCCAGCCACTCATCCCCACCCTCTCTAGAGAAAAAGCCCATGAAGAATTTATGGAATGTCCCCAGGAAATTCTACCATGGTCCAGGTCCCATAGCTCTTTCAACACAGGAAGGAAAATAAAGAAAAAATAGCTAAGAGTCAGGCAAGGGGAGGGAATCTGGGTGCGTCAAAGCTACTCACTTCTTCCCTGCCTAGCCAGGCGTCTCCCAGACGGTCCAGTCTTCATCTACAGAGGCTGCTAGGAACAGGATGTCCCTGAGTGGGGAAGTGAAGAGGAAGTGAACTCACCAAAAGGGGCATAACCACAGTGTGATCTTAGGTGGTCATACACATAGGAAGCCCAAAGACCAGGCCCTCTTCTGGTGCACCAGCAGGTGGAACACAGGAAGAGTAGAACTGAGATCTCAAAGCCAAGATAGGACATGCAGGACTGAGAACTATTCTTTACAGGATGGGAAAGATAGGCTAAGCTTCACCACAGGGTGCAACAGCTCAAGCAATGGCTGTGGGATTAACCTTCAAGGTCTCATAAAAGAGGAAGAGTACCAGGTTTCTGCTTTAAAAGGGTGAATTGGAACCTAGTATGGCTCTGAGCTCAAAGAGGAACTCAAGGAAAGGATTTAGGATTAGAACCCAGCCAATTGTGTGTTACAAGCTTCAGCAAAATCAATTAGTCATCACCATAGAAGCAGAAGAACAGCTTCCAGACCATGAGCGGCGTTGACTCCACTTTATGAGGGAGATAATATCATAACAGAATGTTAAGAAACCAAGTCTGAAATAGACAAAGGCAGCAAGGATGTGGGAATCACGCTATGTTAGATGTATTTCTGCAAGGCTGAAAACCCAAGGGAAAAGAGCAAATCAAAAAATAAAGACAGTTCTCCAGATAATGCAATTTACTCAGCACCTTTTACGTTCTAGTTATTGTTTTAAGACCTTTGCCTCTACTAACTCACTGAGCTCTGATGCAGCCAGTCTGAGGCGGGTACTGCTATCAACTCCACTTTGCAGATGAGACCATAAAGGCAAGAATGGTGCAGAAATTTGCAGAGTTCGTGGCTGAGCCCAGACTTGATTCTCACTTGTTGACGTGCTTAGCCATCAATCTGTGGAAGATGAGTTAGCCTTAGTCAATGTGGGCCCAAAGTTGATATGTAGGAGTTGCTGCTACAGAACTAGCTTTTCTCATAACCTAGGGAAGGAGTTGTTATAACCGAACTATCTTACTTGACGGAATGAATACCTGGTCAATAGATATATCCAGTAAGGAGTACGGTAGAAAGACTAACTCTAACCTAACCCTAACTTTAGCCCTGCATCTAAGGACAGAATCTCTCCCATGCTGCCACTGTTATGGAAGACTTTGATCCCTTCAATGGAACATGTATGTGGTGGTTTGAAGGAGACTGGCTCCCATAGACTTACACAGTTGAGTGATTGGTCCCCAGTTTGAAGGATTAGGAGGAGTCTGTCACTGGGGGTGGGCTTTGAAGTTTCAAAAGCCAGATTAGTCCCAGACAGTCATTCTTTCTGCCTCCATCTTGAGGATGAGATGTAAGCTCTCATGTTCCAGCACCCTGCTTGCCTGTCTGCTGCCATACTTACTAACATGATCATAGACTCACCCTCTGAAACTATAAGCAAGCTGCCAATTAAGTGATTCCTCTGATGAGTTGCCTTGATCATGGTGTCTCCTCCCAGCCATAGTACAGTGACTAAGATAATGTGACAATGGAAGACACGCCACAGCAGAGAATAGGAACAAAGACAGATGGTCAATGTGCCCTAGATGTGGCCTTTGCAGGTCAAGCTGGATTGAACCTGCCTGGAACATGGCTGAAAGTTTTTCACAGTCAGGGAGAGGTATTAGGTATATGCAGGGCAGGGCCAAGGTGATGGGGGTGCCAGGGCAAGACACAGGGGATGGGATGTATGGTGACCTAGAGCCTCAACACTGTACTCTGTGAAGACACCCTCCTGGTTAGAGCAGGCTGTGAGAATCTGGAGAAAAGAGACACTGGGAGTTAATGTCCATGCAAGTAGAGGAAGAGTTGGGGCAGAAACTGGAAACTCATTTCAGATATCTTTCAGATTCCAGGGAAGAGTGGAGAATATAGTCTAAGGTAATAGGGCACCGAGTCAGGGACTGTGTAGAATTAGAGATGACAGGAGTGTGGCAGGTAGGAGGGAGGGACTAGCTCAAGTTTCAGGGTGCTGCTGCTTAGGGCCTGCCCACCGTTCACAGTGCCTGGAACTCTGCCCACCTGCTCACCCTACCATTTCACATCCTACCATATGCTCTTGCAGGAGCTAAGGTGGCTCTCTGCTTCAGCCTTCTAGTCCTTTGGAACTGAGGCTGTAACCAGGAATAAGCATTGCTGTTTGTCTGCCCCGGCCTGGTAGAAAACATGTCTGTTACCTAATGATTGTGACACATGCTCTACCCTGTCACTTCAACCATTGCTGCCACATACCCCAAGCATCTGACCCCACTACCAGATAAAATACCTCACATTAGGTAAGCTCACCTCAAATGTACTGGGTTGTACTCTGGCAAATCCTTTTGCAGTAATTGGAATAGAATCAGATGCCAAGAGCGACTCCCTATGGATGGAGCTGTTACAGAGAACATCTCTCATGATGGGTGGGCAGATCCATTGGCTGGCAGTGGATGAGAAGTCATGGAAACAGAAGAACGCCTACTGGATTACAGGATGAGAATAGTGATTTCTGGATAATAATTGGAAGAGGGAGTAGAGGGGCTCTGAGGCGTGAGCTGATAAGGCAGGGGGGTGGAGAGTACTTCCTGCATTGCCTAGAGACCCTGGAATAGCACACATGAGCATCTGCCTCACCTGGATCAGATGAAAAGTTTGCAGTAGGCAGGTACAGAGCCCAGATAACCACTGTTCCTCTAGCACTCTAGCAGCCCATTCCTTTTGG